TGAAAATCATGCTGTTGAAATTAACTTAAGTTCATTGCTATGTTCTCTAATAGGGCTGGGTAAAAAATATAGATATCTCGATATTAATCGATTCTCATTTTTACGGAACGATATCGATTCCTAAATCCCAAGAATCGATTAGTCTAGCCTGTTTTCAGTTAATGGACGGAACATTTAAAGGGTACTTCCCATCCAATACATAGCAATAAGCATTGTGCTTTGGTACTTTTCATATAAAAAGAAAGTCTCAGATTTCAAATTCTGTCCATTGTATTGCAGTATTTAAACAATAAATGCCGTTTTGGCGCTGTTTAATGTGGAGTGACAGATCGCTGTAGCACATAGCGCACGTGATCCGATCATCTCCTCCACATTAATACCAGTTTCAGCACAAAATAAACATGACTAAACATCTGAAGGCAAGTTAAAAGAAAGAGTACAACTTTACAAACCGTAACCTCTCTCATGTAATCGCTCAATCAGTGTTTCAGCCGCACAAAGACGTCAATATAACGTCTTGTAAACAATGTAACGTAACGTCAAATTTACCTCAGAAAAACATATTCAGTGACCATAAACTCGTTAGTAAGCTAGAAAAATAAACTGTAGAGAGGGGCATTTTGCTAAATATATGCACCATATAACATATTCATTATAATTTTTACTGTTCTTCAATGTTTAATTTATGTTTGAATAAATCCATCAAGTTTTTATGACAGCCACCATTTAAATGTTTATATTTCAAAAAAACTAATTGAAGTAGAAATATTAATATGTAACTGTAACTTTATTATTGTAAAAACTTCAATATTATAGTAATGTTGTTCCAACTGACTCTCATGTAGCCTATATTTTATAGCATTAGTTGAGATTTTTTTCCTTGAGAAAATTTGGCAAGTACTGTACCTGATATATATCCAAAATAATCGATATTGAATCGAATCGAATTGGTAATCGAATCGAATCGCAAGCTTGTGAATGAGAATCGAATTGAATCTTGAAATTTGTGTCAAAACCCAGCCCTATTCTCGAATGATTTTCTCAGTTGCTCTGAACGCTTTAAGACCCTGAGAATGTTTAATCTACAGAATATGATTTGTATGTCTGTAATGAAGAGCTATAGGTGGTTTTTATCTGTACAGCCTTTTAAACAAATACGGAAAACCATGAAAGATTAAAGGACGGTCTCGTTATCCACGTTAAGTGGAGTGAGTTTTGCAGCTGCATTAATGAGTGTGTTGTTGGATCATTTGCTGGCAGTCTGTATAAAAGCAGGCTTAATGTCAGGATCAATCTCTTAATTATGTTTGTTATTGTGTGTTTGCCTTCTACCATCTATATCAATAACTTACAAACCTTTTCAACTCTGAATGGTCTCTAATGTCTGTTGCATTGTGTAAAATGCTGATGTCCGTCTCTGCTGGGAGATGTACATGGCTCTGCTCTCTTGATTTATTACGCCTATTGTCTACGCACTAATTAATGAATACAGCTCATATTTGCATACATTACCAGTCACAGAATTATGCATCAGCTCACAGTAATTAGTTTTGCAGGTCTTTGCAGTGTGCAGCGGTACATTTAAATTGCCATGATATTTGGTGCTCCGGGTGTGTGTTCACGGTGTGTGTGTGTTCACTACTGTGTGTGTGCACTTTGGATGGGATAAATGCAGAGCACTAATTCCTAGTATGGGTAACCATACTTGGCCACATGTCACGTCACTTTCATTCATTTCACTTTCATATTAGTTTGGACGAAAGAAGGCGTCACATGACAAAGAATATGACAGCAGATACGGCCTGTTTTCCATCTGCTAATTAGAATTATAGATCATAAAATATGCAAGCATGCACAAAATGTCACGTAGACAATGGGATGATATGTATTGTGTGTTGCAATATGAGCTACTTTTTTGTTTCCTTTGTATAGTATTTAAACCAACATCTAAACGGTTAGTGAATGTGTTTTGAAATATTGAGCTTTGGTACTTATGCTGGCAGTGTAAGTTTTATCTCATAAGTATATATTTATCATTTGTATTTTTCTTTATATATTTTATGTATATTTTATTACATTTATTTTTATTTTGTTAGTATTATATATATATATATATATATATATGTGTGTATGTGTGTGTGTGTGTGTGTGTGTATATATATATGTGTGTATGTATATATATATGTGTATTCAAAGCATCGCCATTACTGTCTAGAGTGCGTGGAATGGTGCGCTGTGATTGGTTGTTACTGTTTACAGTGCGTGGAATGGTGCGCTGTGATTGGTTGAGCGGATATATCGCATTCTGCAGAGAAGGGAGACTGGCGTTTGTCGCGGTTTGGAAAAAAAGGGAGAAAACATGACAGAATAACAAGGCGGATATCGCATTTTGCGTAAAATGTAAAATTGATTTATTTGAATAAAAAACAATACTGATTTTTGCGGAAACTCTTTTTTTTTTTTTTTTTTTTAATGGCGTTTATCGCGTTTTGGAACCAAGCTCTTCATATAGTTGCCAGTTGCTAGAGTATTATTGTTTTTTATGTTAATTTATTTTTAATTATTTGTATTTTGTATGTATTTATTTATTTATTTGTTTTTTAAATGTATTTATATTAGTTTTTTTTTTAAGAAAATAATAGTGTTTCTTGTCCACCCAAAAATAAAGCAGTGCTGTTGCTGTAGAATTATTACTTTTTTAATAGATTAATTAATTTGTATTCCTTTTCATTTTTAAATATAAACATGCCATAGCAAATGTGTTGCCAAAAAATGTCCCTGTTATTAATGTTTCTTTGATATGTTTACCTTTCTTTCGTCCTCCTAGCAGATAGATTTATTTATTTGTTTGTTTATTATATTTTCTATATGTTTTTCTATATTTTTTCATATTTATAGATTTCATATATTTTTATTATATATAACTAGTTATTGTTAGATGGTTGCTAGGTTGTTGCTTAAAAAGATAGCAAGCATGCCTAAAGCCTGGCTCACACTACAGGATTTTTAGCCCGATTTAGCCCCGATTTCCCCCTTCCGAGAATCGGAGCAAAAATCTTGCCGATCACCTCGATCGGTCCCGATGTTCAGAGAAGGGTCTGGTTGCAGACATGCACTTGCATTTTCAGACTTGCACTCTCAGACACCTGCACTTCCGCAACTGACATCACTTAGCACAATAGCACTATCTTAATACATTAAGCCATATTAAGTGTTTATGGTTTTCTACGGGAGGTTTAAAAACGCTTAATGAGAGACTTTGCGCATTGCGTTCATATTCTGCTGTTCTATGGCCACGGATTTGCGGGTCTTGCCTTTTTCTCCTACAGATGACTTGCAGGACCCTGTATGTTATAGTACTAAATTAGTTGTAATCGTTTAACCACCACAGCATCTTGTCTCCATTGGCAACACGCACGATTCGTGTCGATTGCAAGTGATGTCGCAGGTAGCAGAGAGTGCAAGTGACTTTGTGATTTAGTTTCTTTTTTCTAGTCTTCACCACCTGGCTACCTGTGTAAAATGTTGATAGATTAAATTTAAAAAATAATAATGAATAAATTAAAGCTACAGTCTGTAAGTTTTGGTTCTTTGTCGCCATCTCTGTTAGAAAACCTGCAATTGCAGCTGTTTGCGAAATTATCTTCGGGTTGTGCGCCGGTGTTCTGACGATTTGTGCTACCCTGTCAGATTTTGCTTCCCATTTTCACCGTATATTGCCATCTGAACAAGTAAGTAACAAGTCTGCCATGTTTGTTCTGACCAACTGAGGAAAAAAGCATTACCATAAATCTCGCTACCAATGGTGATTTAATCTAAAGATCGGTTAGCTCATATCACATCAAACCATGCAAATGATTATTATTGTTATACTTTATTCTCAAATTATTCATGTTAACAACATCAGCATTGTGTGCCTATGAGTATAGTGTGTTTTAGCGTGTAGATTTAAATTTCTGTTCAGTCTAATCTCTTGTCATACCATTCGAATTTCATATTAAGAAATTCTTTTAACCCAAAAAGCAAATTATGCTCCCTTCGAACTGGTCTTTAAAATACAAATCTTGTGTAATCCCAGGCTATCTGTAATCATTTGTGCACATTTAAAACTGGAGTATAATTTAATTTCATTCACATGTGTTAAACAAATAATCCTTTCTGGATTACAATCCGCCATCAAAATGATACATTTAATTATTCCAGCTGCTGTGAGAAAAGGCTATAAACGATCCACCACCTGCAGGATCCTCACATGCGATAGCCTAGTAGCCGGGACAACTTCTTTATGTTAACAGAAGTGACGTAATGATGCAGCGGCATGCTCGAATTTCCCGCGAAAACCTACCCGTACCACTCAAATTAGAAAACATTATTATAAGCTAACCGTTGTGAATCTGGCTAAAGTAAGGCGATAGTTTTGAACACTGGCTGGTTATGTACTTGCTCAAATATTGATTTCGGATCATTTTTAACCCAAAAAAGTTACGGACTGCAGCTTTAAATAAAATAAAAAAAGACTGCAAGTGACATCACTTGCGGAAGTGCAGGTGTCTGAGAGTGCAAGTCTGAAAATGCAAGTGCATGTCTGCAGCCAGACCCTATTGGGATGTTCGGCACTGATTATCTGGTAATGTGAGGCGTTCACAGATCAAATCTTGCAACTCCCGATGTGCTCGCACACAAATCGGGGCCGTCCCCATCATATCAAACATGTTTGATATTTAGGATTTAAATCGGGATGATGACGGCTATATGACTACGTCAGTACTTTCACAATAGCCAATGCGCGTCCACAAAACAGCTGCTGCTGCAAATCTTGTAGTGTGTGCATTCGAGGGAAGATAGTCTGCAAAGATTCTCCTTATGTGTGTGCTGCAACCAGATTTCATAATTGGTTAGGATTTTAAAACTCCTGTAGTGAGCCAGGCTTTAGTAAATGTCTTGCCAAAGAGGGCCCTATTATTAATGTTTCCTTGATATGTTTTTCTGTCGTCCTCCAGCAGGGCGGCGATAAGAACTCCAGCCACTCCAGCAGTAACACTCTGTCCAGCAACGGCTCAAGCAGTAACAGTGATGAGAAGCACTTTGGCTCCGGGGACCTGATGGATCCAGATATGCTGGGTCTCACCTACATTAAAGGAGCCTCCACAGACAGCGGCATTGACACCGCGCCCTGTAGCATGACCCCGGGGGTCGCCGGTGTGTCTGTTTCCCGCGTCATGCTCCAGGGCCCCGGGGCATCTGATCCGGGACACCCGTGGACACCGGAGCTGACAGAAGAAGGGTCCACGGAGGAGGACCACGGCAGGTTGTACCTTCCCCAGAGCTACGCCGCGGCTCTGGCCGCCGGACATGCGCCCGTGGACGGGAGTATGGGAGACCTGAACGAGAACTCATCTCATTCTAGGTGAGCAAAAGAGAGAGAGCTGATGCTTATGAGAATATAAATAGGTCAGATTTGTATCTTGAGGTTAAATGGATCGAGCATTTCCTGGGTGATTATGTTCAGATAATGTTTTTGCCAACATTATTGATTAGCCTGCTGGCTGGATTTCCACCGTGGAATGCTAACAGCAGAATACATACACTTCCCACTCTGCCATCAATTATTGTTTATAAATATGTGCATATTCTTCCAGTTACACACAAACAAACACACAATTAATTGGGTGCAGCTGTTTAAGTGTTTAAGTATTTTGCCTATTTTGACATGTTACATATCCAGCTGTGTGTATTCACTTGGAGAGAGAGGAATGCTGCTTTTTAGAAACAGGTCTGCAGTCATTTTACATCTAAATGACTAACATTGACTTAGGCTGCATTTATTTGATCAAAAATACAGTAAAAACATTAATATTGTACAATATTATTACAGTTCCAAAAACTGTTTTCTATGTGAATATACTGAATGTTAAAATGAAATTTATTGCTGTGATCAAAGCTGAATTTTCAGCATCATTACTCCAGTCTTCAGTGTCACATGATCCTTCAGAAATCATTCTAATATGATGATTTGCTGCTCAAGAAACATTTCTTATTATTATCAGTGTTTAAAACAGTTGTGCTGCTACAGATTTTTGTGGAAAACGTGATGCATCTTATTTTTCAGGATTGCTTGATGAATAGAAAAATCAAAAGAACAGCATTTATTTGAAATAGAAATCTTCCTATTTTAAATGTCTTTGTCATTTTCGATCAGTTTAATGCGTCCTTTCTGAATAAAAGTATTAATTTATTTAACAAAAAAAAATCTTACTGACCCCAAACGCACAGCTGAAAAAACAATTCCAGTGATTCCAGGTCAATTAAGCTTGTTTCCAAGTAGCAGATCCTATCCCTTTTTTACATCATGGAAAAGAAAGTTACATTGTCTTAATTTGCATTGAAGTCATTATTTGCATTGAAGTCATTATTTGCAATGTAGAATAATTTGTGGGATTTGTGTAATTGAGATAACATAGGATAATAAAAAAATGTTATTGAAGGGAAAAAATAGATGGTTTTGTGTATTGCACTTAAATGTAGACATATAGGGTTATTTTCCATCCATACAGTAAAACTGTTTTGTTTTGCACTGCAGAGCAATTCAGGAAAATCATTAGCAAAATTGTCAAATTACCTTCTATTATATTCAGAGTGTTCTTATGTTCTTCAGAACCAGCTGTCTTCAACTGCATGGATAAGAGAGGTTTCAAAAGTACACAACTTTAAGGAGTATTATTAGAGCTTCTTATGTAAACTAAACACTTGTAAGCATAGACTGTTACATAAAAGGCAGAAAAATGGTAAGAAGTCTCTTTGAGACAACCCGGCTGCATTGTATCGCTATTGATCTAGTTACTTTAAAGTGCCCCTATTGTGCAATTTTTAAGGTTCATAATATTGTTTTGGAGTCTCCTACAATAGCTTTAAATGCATGCAAGCTCAAAAAACACTTTCGCTTTCTCAAAATATGCATTTAATATCACCACATTTTCCAATGATTCTCAAACTGTTCGTTCGAAGCCGTTCTCTCTAAACCCCTCCTTTCCGTGAGCCTACTCTTCTCTGCTCTGATTGGTCAGATGGCCCAGTCTGTTGTGATTGGTCTACTGCATACAGCGCATGTCGGAAACGATACACCCATTGCCATAGTTCCGTATTTTGAACGCTCGATAGAAAATATAAACATCTATTATTTATCATACTTACAGTTTGTGATTTGAGTGGAGCCAGCTGGTCCAAATAAACTGGGTGATGAGCCATCTTTCAAGAGCAAGCGTTTTGTAAATCACGCATTGAACTCCCCAAGAGAAGCAGTCGTCAGTAAAATGACGGTAACACAAAAAAATTTTAACCACTGATTCTTTCGGAAGTGAAAATAAAACAAATTTACTTTCACAGCGTAGGACACAGCGTCTTCTCAACATGATGTTAACCACACGAACAAGCTACAGTGTTTGAGGGTGGATCAAGTTGTTCGCAGCCGGCCAATGTAGAACATAGGCGGGCATTATGCAAATGTGTTACCCCATCGCGGAAGTGGGATTCGAATTACTGATGACTCGATTCAGAGTCGATTCTCTCTTTTGGGAGACAACAACTTTATTTACATTTACATTTAGTCATTTTGCAGACGCTTTTATCCAAAGCGACATACAATTTGGGGATACATAAAGCGATGCTTCTTTAAGAGGCAAACAGATACAGGAAGTGCTTGTAATACCAAGTTTCTAGACATTGTAATATCACATTTGCAGCTGGTCAGTGTTCAAAAAATGCTGGGAAATCTCTTCATGTAGCCCCAAGAGTGATTACTGATAAACTGTCTGAAAAAAATACAGTTTTTAGAGAAGAAAAAAACCCACTGACTTTCAAAGCTGCTAACGACTTTCTACTTTGAGGATTTTTATAGAAATGTAGTGGAGTGAAAAGTACAATATTTGTCTTTCAAATGTAGTGAAGTTAGAGTCATAAGTATAAATTGGGTTAATTTAAAAATACAGTGTTTTAATTTAACCTTTTTTTTTTCTATTGCTCTTTGTTTTAAAAAAGGTTATAAAAAATGTCAATAATTATCGATACCGAACGATATGAAACATTATATCATTGATAAATTTTTTATCAATTTTATTTATTGTGCATTTTCGGCTTTATAACTTTGCAGATTGTTTACATTCACATACAGCTATGTTACACATTGCATGAAAGGCAATATTCGAAATGGCATAATGGGGCACTTTAAAGGTGTTTTCAGACCTGTAGATCATTTGCTTTGCTCCAAAACAAGGACTTACATTGTTACAGTGTTGTATTTTCTTCTTGGTTCGGCTTGCTTTTACAGTAAGTCATACCAAAATGTGTTTATGCAAGTCACGTGTGAGTAAAACTGCATTCTAGAGCTGCACGATTCTGGATAAATTGAGAATCACGATTTTTCTGTTTCAAATAGAGATCACGATTCTTCCACAATTCTGAACTAAGCAAAATAATGTAATTTACTAGAGGCTGTGACAAAATATTAATTGCCTCATTCTATTAAAAATGTTTAACTCATTTGAATAATTAAAAAAAAAAGTTTGAATGAATGATTCAATGACACTTTTTTCTGTTACTGAATGAATCAGCGTTTTTGAACAAATCTCTTGAATGAATGATTCAATGACATAAAGTTTTTAACAGTCATTTGTTATCTCCTTGTGGCGAAACAATGTAATCAACATTGAAATCAGCAAATGTTATTTGAAGTGCCATTTTGAAAAGAAAATTACTTTCAAAATAGGCCTGGGCGATAAAACAGTATCGATATTTATCGACGGTACACCTTCTTCGATAACAATATAAAAAATGTTCGATATAGTGCACGATATATGCACGTGCTATGAGTGACGCAGGCAGCACACACAAACACGAACATGAGTGCTGTGCCTGCCTGTGATGAGGAGATTGTGAGTAAAAAATGAATATTAGTCGAATTTAAAATAAACATTTGCATTTGAATGTTAGGAGTGCGTCAGGGAGCGTCATCAGTGGAGCACGAGATGCGGTGATGATGATGTAAGTGACGTTGTAGTTTAATGTTTTGTAAGTCTAGCCCACGAGACACGCAGTTGCTGCGTTATTCATTCAAAATATTAGAGAAATATAGATGCTCAATGCGGGGAAGATCTTGATTAGGTTAAAACCGAAACCAAGCTATTCACACAGAAGTCATATTCAGCGCATTTTCTAGACAGACAAATACGACTGCTGCACTCGCATCTCACACAAGAGATGTAGACAGCCATGCAAAGTTAAAACAGTTTAAACTTTTAGAAAACACGTTGTGCATTTTTGTGGAGGTTTTTTCCTTTTCACTGCGTCTCATATGTTTTTAAAGGCAATCTCCGTGATGGGCGATTCGGCTCTTTGTATTAAGCAATGCATAAATACGTGATGCTGTTTTGTTCATAATTGTTTATGCCATTTACGAAATTATATTTGATTTATATGAGTTCTTTTAGACATAATGCACATTTTTTTTATAGACAGTTACTTCCTTAATTTGACAATTTAATGTGCTGCATTCGCCCTCCTGTGGCCTCGGGAGACAAGACAAAAGTTTAACCTATTTAATCTGCATATAAAACATTAGAAATTAGATATTTGTTTAATTTTTATTTTGTTTTTGACTGTTAAAACAAAAAAATATTTGTAGTTTGAGTTAATTAAAAAATACAGTGGTTAAATGTAAACATTTTTTTCTATTGCTCTTTGTTTTAAAAAAGGTTATAAAAAATGTCAATAATTATCGATACCAAACGATATGAAACATTATATCATTGATAATTTTTTAGCTATATCGCCCAGCCCTATTTCAAAAGTAGATTTGCTCCATTTTGATCGCTACCATAGACATCCGAACTATAAACTTTTATCCCAGTACTTCTGTGATATGAATGATTGTAAGACAGAAATAATACTGTGTGGTTGAAAAGACTGTGAAGCTGTTTCATAGCTAAACATAACGGCTCTCTCTGTGATTTGAATGTTCCGGTATGACTTTGTCAAAGGTTTAATAGACACAGACGAATCGTTGTCATTTGGAAATAAGATCGCGTGGGTGTTTGAATCGAGATCGCAATCTTTTAACGATTAATCGTGCAGCTCTACTGCACTCTCATCGGTCCTCTCCTGTTTATGTTCATTCGTTCAGTTCTGACCCTGAAATGAACCAGGTGTGAAAACTCCCTAAAAATGCCACTGGGCACATTTGTAAAGTATTTCCTTTCTTTACCTAACCACCGGTGCTTAAATTAAACATTACAGAAAGTCATTTTCATGTTGTTATGATGGTTGGGTCTCACGTTCCTCTATTCCATGTGCGCTGGCCAGTGGCTCCCACCACTCCGGCAGCCCCTTACCCCACAGCTTCAAGCACATGTCCTCTCCAGAACCTTCCAGAACCCAGGCAGTCCCCCACAGTAGCCAGGAGCCAGGGCCCAGCACTGATGCGCACACACAAAGCCGTAGGAGGTACGATGACAAACCGATCCCGGACGAGCCCCCGATTCAGACCGAGTGTGGGTGAGTGTGTGGATGTGTGGAATGGGATGCATCTGCTGGTATGATTGGTTTATTCGGGAGTTAATTGTTTGGGCCACTAAAAGCAACATTAAGACGCTTCATTTGAGAGTTATTTGTTATTTAATTTAATTTACCATTTGCCATTACCACATACTCAGGACCTCGAAATCTCTAGAGCGTGTAAAGCACTCAAGTAAACCTATGTCTAAAAAGAGTTGTATTGTAATTTCTTAATGCGAACAATTAGGTTGGGCCTTAGATTTGATTCAGTTTAATCTTGCCTTCCAAGCTTGTGCCAGTGTGACTCATTAAGCGTCTGGTTTAAAAGGCCAGGAGAGACCAATCTATTCCGAGGCTGAATTTAGCCAGCGGTGAAGGTCTCTCACTTCTTTTTATCCAATTAATCTCTCCTCTGGCACAATCATCAGGCAATTCCAGTTTTCAAGGACGAAAAACCATCTGCAATAGATTACAGATCAAAGTGAATCTTTCCTCTATCGATCAGAGTATCACCAAGGCCTGGAAAGAACCATCAGTAGATTAACAGGGCTTGATCGAAGTGAGTTCTGTGCAAAATCAGCTCTGTAAACGTGCAGACGTAATATACTTGGCATGTGTCTCTTCTCATTATTGATCTGTATGCTGATGTTCGATCCCTGTGGACTGTACTGTTCCACACAGAAGATCGGTGTTGGCCACTGGACTCTGAACGGATCCTGGAAGGGAAGCGATTGAACCACCTCTGCTTTCCCTTTAATATTCTAGCTCTGCTTCTAGAGAGTCATGGTGTAGATCTTTTTAGATCTTTTTATTTCTAGATCATGATGATGTCAATGAGAAAAAGACTGGTATTCATTCATGTTGGATGCATTTAGGTCAATTTGACCACTTTTGACATTGAGATGATGGTCAAAAAGGGGCCAATTTACCTCATATCAATCAATCTATCTATCTATCTATCCATCTAGCTATCTTTCGTCGTAATCGTTCAAAGCGGCAATTAATCGTTCAAAGTCCACTTATGTTATTCTGCACGCTTAAGATGTGTTTTTTCTTTCTACATTTTATCTTAAGCGTTTTCCATTGTTTTAATTTTAGTTTTAGAATAACATTATAATACCATTCATATTTTTACTTTTTTTATAATTGAAAGAATAAACCAGTCCGATGTATAGTTGACATTTGAGGCATAATACTATTGAAAAGCACTAAAAGTTTTTCAGTTAGAGTGTTTTCAGCTTATTTATTTTCATATAAAATACGGCATGCAGTTGCATCAAACAATGGTATAAACATCATTCAATGTAAATTGTGATAATCATAATTAATAATCGCAATTACAATTTCAAGGGAATAATCGACAATTATGATTTTTGTCATAATCGTGCAGCCCTTCTATCTATCTATCTATCTATCTATCTATCTATCTATCTGTCTATCTGTCTGTCTGTCTGTCTGTCTGTCGTATTGTTATATCTGCTGTTCTATATTCATTTAATCAAATTTCAGTTTAGTTACAAATTGCAGTTATATGAATTTGAATATCAGCTTATTTTAATTATACTTCCTTACATTCAAATTCAAATGACACATTTCGTTTGCTGTCTCCGTTCAGTAAATAATGTTTTTGATCTAAAATGCAACAAGCTCAGTTTGGGTTCGTCTGTAATTATTATAATTTGACTTATTTGACAGCAGTAGATGTCTCTGTTTTGTCCACATTTCGACAGCAAGTGTGTAATTGTGCTCAGAATAAAACTCTCTCAGTTCCATCTCTTCACTAATGTCTTTTGTTCAGTGAAAGTTTCCAGTTAAACTTCTTAGATTGATGGTGCGGCTGAACTGCTTTCCCCCAGCTGTTATGAAAGAAGCCGTGTAATGCAGTTAGCACCTCCTTTCCTTGTTTATTCCACCTCAGCCTTTATTTCACGTTACGTAAAAAGCCTCTAGACAAATCATCCAATATCGCTCGCATTTATTGTACCTGCTAATGAAGCTTTTTTCCCCGTTTGCAGTGCGGCTTGACACTGTAAACTGCAGCTGCTAACTTTCTTCTCTGTTTCTTCTACTTTCCTCGGCTTCTTTTGCTCAGTGGAGCCGAGAGCTTGTTGTCTTTCCTTCTGAAGGCTCTAGCCGAGCGGTCCAGGTACATATGCACACCCCCACTGTGTATGCTTGTGCTCACGCCGTTAGTGAACTTTCCCCTTTGACCCCTGACCTTTCTGTTCTCCTCACTGAGTGTAAATGTCTGGAGTTGAAATTCTCCCTGCTGTGCCGCGCCGACCCTCCTCTCCTCGCTCACCTCGACAGTTTCTGTCAGACTCAGACACAGTTGCTCATAGACACAAGTAAAGGCCAATGGGTCACTAAGTGTGTTAAATCCGTGGCGCTAGTGCCAGACAGCTGTGATGACATTGTCCATCGCCTGCGGGCTTTGAGTGAGTTTTAATACATTCTCTTCACCATTGCACTTGTTTGGATTTTTGCTGCATTGCTCAGTTCAGTTGTTATTTTTTATCCGAGACTAAAAGCATAAAAGACAGCACACGTCTAAATGTGACCTTCTCACAATATTAATTAACTCACCTTCAGTATTTACACACTCGCTGAGTATTTTTTAACTTGGCTGCAGCTTGTATATTGGTAACCTTTACATTTCGTCTATTATTTACAAGGACATTCTAGAAGAAATGAAGCTGTGCATGGAAATGTCTGTCATTGTTTTCCCTGTGGATGTCTGTCAGCCTGAGGCTGAGCATGATTCTGGGTCTGTAATAGAGTGTTGAATACAGCAGGTTTAACCATAATATATACTAGTACATTTCAGGTTTTCTTCCAGTTTTATATACAAAAATTGTAAATATTAATACAAAAAATTTATTGTATTGTTATTATTTACTTATTGCATTTAAGTGATATTTAATTTATTTATTTAAAAAAAAAGTTATTGCTACTCTTCTGTTTATTTTTTTATTTTTATTTTGGTATGTATTATACTATTTACATTTGTAATTATTTGTAATTATTTGCTTTTCATTATTAGATTTCATTATTATTTGCATATTTAATTTCATTTATATATATATATATATATACACACACAGACACAAAAATATACATAGAAAATTATCATATTAATTTTATCGTTATTATTTACTTATTGAATTTAAGTTTACTTGTTTGATTTACTATTTATTTTTAAAAATTCATAAACTTTTGTTTGTTTCATGATTTTCATTTTATCTCCTAGTATTGTACTGTTCTTGTACTTGAACAAGTAGAACACTGTTCTATATAGATCTGTATAATTTATTAGTATTTGCTTTTTATTTGTAATGGCTTGTTTTGTTTATTTTTTAAAAGCTTCTTCGTTCACCACATGCTGCAGGACAAGGCATGATTTAATTTTCTGCAGATTGCTGGGGATTGCTAGATCAGTGTCTTGCTCCAGATACTGTCGACAGAGTTTAACTTGTATTTAATATGTGATTTCTTCTGTAGTTCAGGTTTAGTTTTAGCCTGTGTGTGTATTTGTGTGTGCATGCTGTCTGTCAGCTATATAGCACGCTGCCAAGTGAGTCACACACACACAAACACACAAACACTGTGTGAGCTGCACACAGCAGCATCAAGGTCACATGGCCCCATCACCATCTCTCCCCTTCCTCCTCTTCACCCGCTGAAAGGATGTGTGACAAACGCTCGTGAGAATCGTCAGCATTAGCTCGTAATGTAGTGTTCAGTGTGATACTGTGATTATCATGACTTTACACTGACCTGCAGCGTCTATACCTCTTCTGTCCTGCTTCATGCTGAACCAGAGCCTCCATCCTCAGTGTTCGACCCTGCTCTCCCCTCACTCCTTAACTGGATTTTTTTTTTTAAGTTTAGTTTATTTCATTTATTTAACAGGGACAATGCACAACAGAAGTGTTAGCTATAAAGCTAATTTGCATCTGCAGTCCCTGGGCAGGATGTTGTTACAAAATTACAATATTCAGTCACAAACAATACAATACATACAACACACACAAAATCACATCACACTCCATAAAATTAAAAAGTCAGGTCAATTATCACATATTTGATTTTCCTTAAGCCATACTTTAAGCGTAGTTTTAAAAATACTAAATGTTGTACACTCTCTAATAGGGCTGCACGATATATCGAAAATATCGCGATAGGCATAACACAAGGGTGTGCGATATCTGAATAATTTTAATAGTAGGCTACTTAAATCAAAAGCGCACACACAGAGAGACGCGTTTCAGTTGGCGCGCGAACACCGAGTTGATTCGTCTTTCGCATCTCCTCCTCATGTTTGAACAGACACATAAACACAGAATTATGTCAATAGTACCCGTCTCGATGATCATTCTCGTAAAACAGTCAGTTATGTTTTAAATGAATGTAAACAGCTGAGAAAGAAATCGGATGTGTATCATTATACTGGATCCGTGCAGTCGGATTTAAAGGGACAGCAGCCTATAAATACATGCTGCTGAATATGTCACTAATGTTAATCAAACAGCTATAACAAAGATTAATCTAAATTTAATTCATACAGTGAACACAATGCAGTGTTATTTTACACTTAATTATTAAATTTCTGTACCTGAATACTATTTATTTTATATATGCTTGTAAATTGTGTATTTGTTCTTTTTTCCCTCTTTTTCTTTATTTTTTTAGTGACTGTTCACTTGTCTTTAATCATGTTTGAACTTTCTCAGACTATATTTTTTGCTGTGGTATATGAAGAAGTACTTAAAGTGTATGGAAAGCAAAGTCACAATGATATAAAATTAGTGTCATTAATTTTTTTGTCATTCACATTGATGTTAAAATTACATTTTCTGATTTGTGACATTACTTTTTATGTACTGCTAAAACACTGCTGGTCACTTTCAGAAGTTGTAGTGATTCTTTCTTTTCCAATAAAGAATGTGAAACAAATTGGTTATATAATTTTCATTTTTAAAGGGGTCCTATTATGCTTTTTTACTTTTTCAACTTTAGTTAGTCTGTAATGTTGCTGTTTGAGCATAAAAAAGATCTGCAAAGTTACAAAGCTCAA